CTGGGTGGTTAAAGACAATAGTGGAAAACTCCTTTTCTTGGTTTACCCTTTGGCACTTTTGGAATTCTGAAAGATTTCAATTTGTTACTTGTTCATTACAAATAAATACAGCTTACATGTAGAAATCTACTATTACAATGCTGGCTTTAGTTTCTTGTTGACTAAATGGTATGCGTTAAGTTTTTCTGATTAGAACTCTAATGTTTTGATTGCTGGCCCAGGGTACAAAAGCAGGATTTAGCACAATGACTCCTCTTCCACCACCATTTCACATATTGGTTTAGAAAACATCTGAAAAGAACATTTCTTTTCACAAAGGGTGCCGAGTGAAGTCTGTAGGGTTAAGGACCTCCGATGAGCCGGCTGGACAGCCGCACAGCTGCAGTTATGAATATATATGAAAATGAAGTCATTTTAGCTTGTCTCTGAGGACTCCTGGGCTCATGAATGAAATCCCAGAAAACAATATGCACATCAAAAGCACTTGATTTCTCTGTCTAAATGCTCTTCCCGAAGACGGTTATACTGACAAAAGTTTCTTGACTAAAGTGTCTCTAAGGAAGGGGGGAATGGTAGAATAGACACAATTCTAACGTTCGAGGAGTTATTTTACATTCAGCCATGTTAGTCACACATGATTTAATCCACTTCCTTGTGACAGTTCCTTGTTAAAATACGTTCAAGTGAATTATGTGAATGGTCTATTTTAAAATGTGTTCTGAAGAATATACTAAAGCAGATGTCAAAAATTTACCCAAAGTCCTAATATCCAACCCACCTTTATTACATGCCCACCATGCCAAGCACTGTGTTATAGAATCAAAGATGCACAAAGATGAAAGCCAGGCACAGAGGCAGAAATTCCAGACCAAATATACTCACAGTAGTAAAACTTCAAGCTCAGATAAAAACTGCTTCCATTGTTTCTTACATAGCATTTTTTTCTCCTAAATATCATGGAGAAAAATAAGAAAACAAAATTAAGGAAAGGATCTCCGTTTCTGGGATTTGTAAACCAGGGTCTACAGTCTTCCTGAAACCAGCTGACCTTTTTGATGTAAATGCATATAATTCTTTTACCGGGGAGAGGATCCTTAGGTTTCATCAGATTTTCAAAAACCCATTAACTCCCAAACAGATTTCTAACCACTGCTCTTGAGTTAGAAGTTTTTCGTGCACTGTATTATGTTGCCATATTTTATATTCGAACCCTTTTACCATATTTTGTACACATTTACATACATTTAAAAATATTATATGTATTCAAAGAAAATCCCATGACAGAAATCCCCTACTTGGTCTCACAAAGGATCCAGTTTGTGATAGCTGTATTCTGGTTAGAAGGGAATTTCACCAATTCGGTATTTATGATTTGGGTCATTTGGATATGTCGATTCAGGTTTACCTTTGTATTAATGTTGAAATGGTGGACTTACTAAGAAATTGAAAAACGTAACTGCTTACTTCAAAGAATCTTCAGAAGCTAGCCCAGTGCCTGACACAGGAATATTTATTGAATACATTAATGAATTCAGTAATATTGTATGAGCGCCTACTCTGTCCCTGGTATTGTTCGTGATGGCTTTAGTTTATAAACCTTATGTCGCTGCGCGTCTCTGCATCTCAAGATCCTAACTTCCACCAGGAAAGAGTTAAGTACATTGTTAGGCTCCATCAGCTGTAAGTTTCTATCATTTGTAAATTGCAAGACGGGGCAGGGTTTTTAGAGCTCTGTTCTCAGGAAGAAAGGGAGAGAAATCCAACAGGAATTCTGGAAGCTATTTTCCAAGTTAATCCAGGAAGTCAGAAACAATAAACGAGGCTAACAAATCATTTTCGCGGAACACTTTATGAGAATTTACATTTTAAAATACCATTGTCCTGGGAGCCAGGTGGATTTGGTCTCAGTCTTATTTCTAACCCGCAATATTTGTGACTTTTTGTCACTTAACCTCCCTCAGATCGCTGTTTTCTTAATCTGAAAAATGAAGGGGTCAGTTTTTGTGTTCATGCTAACCTAGCTTAACTCTTCAAAGTTTGGGTCTGTGCACAAGGAACATCAGCTTCACAGGGAGCTGGTAAGAAATGCTGATTCTCAGGTCCCTGCCCAGGTGTGCTCAACCAGAATCTGTATTGTAAGGTCTCCAGGCCATCCGGTCGCACCCATCTAAGGCATCTTGTACACTTTCCCACTTCAGTCCCTCCAGGAAAGGTTACTGAAGTTAATGTTCCAATTTTACAAAACCACGTTTCTTTAGAAACAAATGCTCTATGGCTAAGGCTTCATTAAATTTCCCATCTTTCCCCGGTGTGTGCCTGTGTGTGTGTGTGTGTGTGTGCGCGCGCGCGCACACACACACACACACACACAGGCACACACTTAGGACTTTGTATGGTGTCTAGGCCTTTGGTAACTTTGTTACTTCCTGTCCTTTTACTCCTAGAGATCAGCAACTAAATTCACAAAAAGGACATACACACATGCTTCATTCAATTCACCTAACGAACATTTACTGAGCAACTTCCATGGGCCAGGCTCTGTAATAAGGCTCCGGGATACAAAGATAAATAAGACCTTTAAAAACCATCATCTAGTCCATTGGGAGAGGTGCGTGAAGAAACCAGTATTAGGAGGTATTGCTATGGTGCTGTGGCTGCACATTGGAGGGTCACCAAAACTATACCAGAAGGGTTGGAGGCAATCAAGGAAATAATCATTGTCCCTAGGACAGGAGGGAAAGGAGATCTAAAGGCAATGACATTCCATTCTGAAGCCAGACTCCTGGAATAAAAAAATAAATAAATAAATAAAAAATCCCAAACCTCCCAAAACCTTCCAAAAACCTCACAAAAACTCCCAGTGTGAGTTGGTGGCAGCCATGGAGAGAAGAGGAAAGTAGAGAGAGGGCTGGAACCTTTTGGGGAGGTGGCCGTGGGGCTCAACCCCAAGAGAACATACAAATGGGACTGGGACACACTGGCCCTAGGAAACAGGCTTCAGTTAGGCCACCTCTAGATAACCACGTTCTCTTTGTTGAATGGTGTTTCATTTCTTTATTAGACCGTTTGTCTCCTCAGGAATCTTGAGACGTCCGTATAAAATCAGTGGGTATAGAATGCTATGTAAGGACTGGAGAAATCAGGTTAATAATTAAAGAAAAAAAAAAGGGCCCCATAATCTAAGCTGCAGAGGAGGAATCGCCCGAGATCCATCCTCTCCCCCATTTGCCCAGCCCTATCTCACCGATGGTGAGATTTGGTCCATTTCACCTCCTGGCTTAGACATACCTTCTCCTTGCCTCTGCCCTAGCTCAGAGCGGGGCTTCTCAACGCTGGCTACACATCCGAACCACGTGGGGAGCTTTGAAAAAATACGGATGCCTGCCACCACTATGCTGACCTAACCTGATGCTGAGGGATCATTGCTAAAAAGCTCCTGAGGTGACTCTAATGTTAGGCTTGAGGACATGGGTTTAAGTCCCATCCATCTCTTCACTACCCATCTAAAACCCCCTCTATCCACCTCCAGCCTAGTCCTTGCCATCTCTGCTCCAATGCCTCTGCCGACTTCCAGCCCATCACCTAACCTGTGCTCAGAGTTATATCTCAAAAACACAAACCTAATCCGTTCACTCTCCCACTTAAAACCCGCCCACCGACTTGAGCCATCTTTCCCGTGTCATCTGCCATTACCTTACCACCCCCCACTCTATGTTCCCTCCACCCAATGATCCGTTATTAGTGAGTAAGGCGTATGTTTGCACACACACACCTCCAGGCTGTTACACCTGCTATTTCTTCCACCCAGAAAGCACTTCCCATGCCTCGCTCCCCGCCAAAATTCTACTGGGCTTTCAAAATCCAGCTGAGAGGTCACTTCCTTTCCTTCGCTTTTCCCATTTGTCTATTGCAGAAATGTTTATCAAGTGCTTCCTCTGTGCCAGGCTCTCTTCTGGGTGCTGGATCTGCCCCTGCCCTGGCTGTCTTTTCTGTGCTGCCATGACCTCCTTGTGCAAATCCGGGCTCAACTACTTCTCACGCTGTAGCTTAATCTTTGCTTTCTTTACCTGACCGTAAAGAAAGGTTTGCCCCACAGGACTGAGCTCCCGGAGGATGGAATGATGTCTTATTCATCCTTGCCCAGCACCCATTTCACAGAGAGAGTTGAATGAATGTTTATTGACTGCTGACTAACGATGAAGAACAGCAGAGCAGTTCTTCTGGGTGTATGTGTGCATACCTGTCTCTTCCTGACTCCTGGGTGTGATACCCCAACACCCTTTCTGCCTTACTGGCTGCAGTCACTCAGCTTTCTCCTAAACTCCAACTCTGATCATTGCCTCGCTCCTTCTATTTGAAGCCTCCCCTTTCCCACCCTCTTGAACTGTGATAAATGATAATTTATAAAGTAGCACCAAAGACCAATCTGGGGCTTAGCCTGTGAAGCTGCCTGGAGGAGACACGGCCCATCCTAAAAACAAGACCAAAAACAAAACAAAGCAAAACAACACAAGAAACTGGAGCAGACCAGCACAGGCAAAGTGCCAAGCTCCTACACAGCTCTTCAGAAAAGCCTTTCTCTTCGACACATCTGGGGATGGGAAGAATTTCACTTCCACATTCCTGCAAGTCAGGCATTCATTTCATGGTCTTTTCTCCAGTCACCTGAGGTCATATATCTTATTTCCATTTATTAAATTTTATTTTCGAGTATATCTCCTTTCAATGTTGATGAAAAATGACACATTCTAGCATGAAATATGAGCAAATAAATGGAACTGATATCCTGTGATAGTAATTCTTTCCATACCTGTTTAAATAATTTAATGGCATATGTTCGGTTTTGGATCTCCGCTCTGTATACCTCAAAAATCTCCCCTTCTCCAATTAGGAAGTCTTTGTGGAAATTTTTGGTTCCATCTCTGATGTTTTGAAAGCTGATGGAGGATTTAAACAATATTCCTTAGGACAGAAAGTAGGGAGAAGATAAGTTACTTTTTCTTTTCTTTCTTTCTTTTTTTTTTTTTTTTTAAGAATCAACATCACCATTAAAAAGAACCATAAGTTCCATATTAGAAATACTTCAGAGCCCAGCAGAGAGCCAGGAGCAGAAGGCCCAGGAACCAAAACTGAAGCCCATCTCCGCACATTTACTTGGGTCTGGCTCCCACCATTCCACAGAACAAATGCCTTTTTAGATATCTGAATAATAGTACTGTGATTCTATCACCCTTCCAAAGAGGTCAGCCAAAGAACTCAGTTGAGGAAAGTTTTCCAGGACTCCACTTCTTTGTCATTAGATCAATGGGTTGCTTTTGACTCACTATGAACCTAAAATCATTCAAAAAAAAAAAAAAAACCTATAGAAGTAGAAACTTTGTTATGACTAAACAATATTCTCCAAGTATGACTGATAGAATCATTTTTCATGAGCCAAATCCTCTAAATTTCTAACTTACTTCCTCAGAGTAAATTAGGAAGATGCTTCAGCTTTTTAAAAAATCATCTAAAGCAGAGATTGGGAGAAAACATTTAGAAGGTAATCAAATACATATCCAAGGGGAAAAGCTTAACTAAATCCTTCAGAGCCCAATTTTGGCTATATTTCCACATTTGCTGTTTGATTTACATCTTATTGTTAAATCTTAAAGGACCAAAATTTTATCCAACTTCTCTAATTCTCTTTTGAACCAAGGAAGGTACAGATCTGGTGGTAAAGACGAGGCAAAGCAGCCTTAACTAGCCATTAACGTTGATCAGAATGATTCCCAGGTAGAATTAAATTATTCTCCCTGCTAATAAAGTAATAAAAGTGATAAGGAAATAATGAGACTTTCATAGTGACCTTCGGCATTGCTCTACAAACATCTCTAAAGATCTCTGCAAGGGCTATCACAATTTCCAACACTATATAAAACCCAATGTAATTTTTAAATGTTTTCCTATGACACATAAAAATGCAAATTTCACTAACAGAAAGTATGAAAACCCCCCCAGGGAAGAGACCACAATTATGTTCTCCATTGGCCAGTGGATTTTTAACATAACAATAATATATCATCCATCAGAACTTAGTGTCAGTCAAAGCTGCAAGTATTTCAACATCCATGAAAATTTTACCCTAAACCTGCATATTAATGAATAGTTAATGTGTTCACTGGATATTTGTCTCTGTAAGTTAACTTAAAGCAAAGCATGATTTAAAGTAAAAAAAAAAAATTTTTTTTTACCTTTTTCATTATGTTCAGGAATAAGCACATTATCCACTGTGACATTGGCTATTTCCTAAGAGAGGAAATACATACTGAAGTAATTCCATTTCATAAGCCTAGAAAGAACAGAACCTTAACAGAAATCCAAAGCTCCCCCTGGACTATACAGTGCAATAGAGTAGAATCTAATTTAGAAGAAAGCTAGTAGAAAGCGAAGTTACTTTATTTAATTCAACAGTATTCATTGCCTTATACATTTAAAGCTTCCATACTAACTACAAAAACTCAAGTATCAATGTCATAGTTAACAGTCAATTTTAAATGACTTCTAATGCTATAAAAAATGATCGCTGCCAATTTATTTGTTCCCATAAAAACCAACAGCAACATGCAAAATGCCCAGTAGAACAGGAAAATTAAAAGCTGAATTAAGACAAATGCGTAACTCACAGCACTCTTACCAGTTCTAAGCCTTATCTATGACAGATCACTGAGAGGAGAAAGTTCTTCACTCTTTTCCCACAAATCTCTAGTTTCCTGAATCCCCAACCAAAGCAACGAGAAAGCTAAAGCTTTACTGGTTTTAAAAAAGTACTTGCAAACCATCATTTTTCTGTCTGATAATTTCATCCCCCATGCTCAATTATATATGCAACAGAGTTCAAGGTTCATTATTTCTGCACATACACTCTACCTTGGGTAACATGTTTGGAAATCTATCTCCATGATGACTCTGACTCTTCAAGGGTGCTCCTAAAAAGAAATAAAGGGAGGTAGATACAGATAAAATTGTATGTCTCTAATAAGCATGTTTTTTTTCCTTTCTTAGACTGTGAAAATAAACACCTTGCTAGTAGTGTTAATTTCTAAAGTTCAGTTGCATTCCCTTTGAATGGTTACAAATTAACATATGTAAATAGCTTTGTAATGATCAAATATTATTCAAACATGTTTTTGTTTACCTAATGTATAATACCTACCTTACATTATTGATAGACATCATTAAAAATATTAAAGTAGAAAGTAGAAAATTGAAAGGAAAAAAGCAACATTGAATCAGCTTTTTGCCCATATTTTTTTTTTAATTTTTTTTTTAACGTTTATTTATTTTTGAGACAGAGAGAGACAGAGCATGAACGGGGGAGAGTCAGAGAGGGAGACACAGAATCTGAAACAGGCTCCAGGCTCTGAGCTGTCAGCACAGAGCCCGATGCGGGGCTCGAACTCACGGACCGCGACATCATGACCTGAGCCAAAGTCGGCCGCTTAACCGACTGAGCCACCCAGGCGTCCCTGCCCATATATTTTAAAGTTGTATAATTATGGGATTATATCTTCTTAGGTTAGTTTATTTTTTATCCCCTCTTGTGCCGTAAGATATTAGAGGGGTGTGTGTGTGTGTGTGTGTGTGTGTGTGTGTGTGTGATCAGCCACAAACACCTATCACCCCTCCCCAAATATACACTGTAACTTCTGTATGTTCTATTTGAATTGAGGTAGTCTATGTAGCTTCCTGCAAAAGATGAAAACCCTGAAGTATCTTGCTGTCACATCTGACATTTTGATTCAGACTTCAGAAAAATTTTATTTCATCTTCTAGTTTTTCTTTGACTGTATTCTAATGTTTTAAAAAACTACTTTGCTTAGAGGACCGGCAACAAAACATAACCAATTAATAACAGACCTCCTTGAGCAAACTACAAGCCTAGATCTAGCAGACATTCTCTAGAATATTCCATCCAAAAACAAAAGAATATACAAATACTTCACAAGAGCATGTTGAACAGTCTCCAGGATAGACCATATCTTGAGCGATAAAATGAGCCTCAATAAATTTGGAAGGACTGAAATCATACAAAGCATATTCTCTGACCACAATGCAATTAAAATAGAAATCAGTAATGGAAGGAAATTTGGGAAATTCACAAATACATGAAAATTGAACAACAAGTCCATAAATAACCAATGAATCCAAGAAGAAATCACAAGGGAAATTATAAACTACTTTCAGATGAATGAAAGTGAAAACACAACATACCAAAACTTATGGGATGTAGCAAAAGGAGCACTTAAAAGGAAATTTATAGCTGTAAATGCCTACCTTAAAAGAGAAAAAGGATCTTAAATCAATAACCTGAATTTTCACTGAAGGAACTAGAAAAGAAAGTGCTAAATTGAAGGAAGCAAAGGAAGGAAAGAATTAAGATTACAGTGGAAATAAATGAAATAGATAATATAAAAACAAAAGAGAAAAATCAATGAAACGAAAGGGGTTCTTTGGAATAATCACAAAACTGATTTAGCTAGACTAACCAAGAAAGAGAGGAGACTCAAATTACTAAAACCAAAAACAAAGAGGAGACACACTACCAACCCTATAGAAATAAAACGAATTGTAAGAGAATATGATGAACATTTGCATGTAAAAAATTAGATAACTAAGGGGCACCTGGGTGGCTCACTTAGTTAAGTGACTCTTGATTTCAGCTCAGGTCATGATCTTGAGGTTCGTGGGTTTGAGCCCTGCATCCGGCTCTGTGCAGGTGCAGAGCCTGCTTGGGATGCTTTCTCTCTCCCTCTCTCTGCTCCTTCCCCACTTGCGTGCCCTCTCAAAATAAATAAATAAACTTAAAAAATTAGATAACTGAAATGGCACAGACAGATTCCTAGAAAGACACAAACTGCCATAACTAACTCAAGAAGAAATAAACAATCTGAATGGACCTATTGCAAGGAAAGAGACTGAATTAATAATTTAAGATTTCCTACACACAAAACCCCAGGCCTGAATGGATTCACAGGTGAATTCTATCAAATATGTAAACAAAATTTAACATCAGTTCTTTACAAATTTTTCCAAAATAGAAGAGGAGGAAACAACTCCCAAATCATTCTATGAGACCCAATATTATCCTAATACCAATGCCAGGTAAAACTTCACAGGAAAACTATAGTCCAATATCTCTTATGAACATAGATGCAGAAGTCTTCAACAAGTCCTCAATGAAATATTAGCAAAGTAAATCCAGAAACATGTAAGATTATATGCCATGATCAAGTGGGATTCATTCGGGAATCCAAGACTGGCTTACAATATGAAAATCAACCAATGTAATACACCACATTAATAGAATGAAGAACTAAACCCATGAAATCCACTAACCTATCATAAAAACCCAAGGAATAGAAGAGAATTCCCTCAATTTAATAAAGGGTATCTGTGAAAAGCCCACAAATAATGTCATACATCATTATGAAAAACTGAATGCTTTCCCCTTTACATCAGGAGCAAGAAAAAAATGTCTGGTCTTGCCACTTCTATTCAACCTTATACCAGAGGTTCTAGCCAGGGCAATTAGGCAAGAAAAAGAAATAAACATCATGGGGAAGTATCGTGTAGAATAAAATTTGAACTAAGGGCACTAAAAGTCATTGTCCTTTTGTTGCCCATAAAAAGGAAGGCAATATTCATTGTCATATAAAATTGAAGATTCAAAATGGCTCTCCTAAGAAGCCAGCAGAAAACTGTGGATTTTATGTCAAAAGTAGAAAACAATCATGACCATTGAAATATAAATGCAAAATGTGATATGTAAGAGCAGGCATACCAGAAATATAACGAAAGCAGGTAAGGATTCTCGTTTCTTGAGCAACTAGGCTATGTCCTGAGATATGAGGGAATGCTTTATGGATGTGAAAACACCTAATGGCAGCCACCTGAATCGCAGGAATAGTGACTGGGAGGAAATACAAGACTTTTCTCAGGAGGACTTGTAAGAAATTCCAAATCCACAAAGTGATCTCTCCTCTAAAATGAAAACAATCCCACCAAACTGACAATTTCAAGGGAAGGGAGGCAAAAATGGATATTTGAGCAAATAATGGATTATTTGGATAACTGGTAAGTCTGTCCATGGGAGCAACAAACAAAGACTAAATCTTTTTATGCACTTTCAGTTAGGAACTCTAACTTCTAGTTCATTGAGTAGCTATCATAGGAGACACGTGTTCAGTAGGCTCACTTAACAGTTTCCATGAATCATCACGCTTCTTTGAACAAGCTAAACAACTAACATTTTAAAGATTTAGTTTCAAAGCATCCACTCAACAAGTTGCAATTAAATAATGCTATTTTTCTCAGCAAAGGACTCAGACCAAAATGCTATCCTCTTCTTCATCTCAGATTTACCTATCTCCTGATACTAGGGCAGTAAATAATTGTCTTTCCACCAATCAGCAAATCTCCTATTTTTAAAAATGAAATCAATTTTGCACGTGCAACAGGAGTCAAGCAAGGATGTGAAATTTTCGTCTACTCACAGTCCACATCATTCTCTGCTGTGCAAATAAGCAACACAGAGAGTGAAAAGGTATCCTGAAATCTATTCCAGAATCTGTAAACGTAAAACATAACCCTGTGTCCTATCAGATTGGTGTGAGTTTATATTGTGAACGATAAGTTGTGTGGGTGGTTTCAGCAGCTGGAAAAGGCTCAGAGAATGAAAAGGCAGTGCATTTACAGTGTCCAGGGAGTCACTGTACTTTACTTGGTCAGTCAGCTTCGTAGTGAAGCATTCCATGGGACTAAACCAAGTGAGGAAACAGTGACAAAAGAGATGAGCCACGTTTTACGGGAAATACCGTAGTGGGAGCCTATTGGGAACTGTCTAATATCCCATTAAACGTAAAAAGCATATAAAAGTCAATCTGAAGGTACAGTGTTCTGGTACAAATTTCGCAGGATTTTTTCTAGGTAGGGGTGATAAGGTAGAGGTATATTTGCATGCAAATATACGGAACTAAAAATACCTCTGGACAAAAGAGCCAAAAGGACAAGGATGCTGATTCAAAAGAATTTTCAGCCTAAGAGCCCTGAGTCTGTAACGTAAGACCCAAGATCACTCAGGATCATTCTTGTTGAAGTGAATAAATCTAAAGTGGAGTAAACAGAACAGGGGACATTAGGAACTTATTTTATTGATAAAGAATGAACAGAAAAAGTTTCATGAGCTTTCCTCATCAGGTTGCTTTTAAGTGTAAGTCATGACACAGCATCAGAAACACATAAGACAAATAGAGGGAGGTATTAGGCCACTGTGAAACGAGACTCGTAAGGCCTAGAGTTAGAGGCCCTGGCATAAAAACAGCACTGAAGATAAAAGATAAGCCCCAGGCATCATTTGCACTAAAATACAAGGGCGGGGGAAGAGAGAATCCAATTATATTTTGACTTATATGACAAAGCTAATTATAAAAGTATTTATGTTTTACTCAAACACTGTGATTCTGTTTACGATTCAAATAGTGTCAGAGTTTTGGATGGAAAACTGATTCTCTTAGCTAAGAATGAAATGTTTAAAAAAGTGTAATTTAGAGGTACCTGGGTGGCTCAGTCGGTTAAGCATCTGATTTCGGCTCAGGTCATGATCTCACCGCTTGTGAGTTCGAGCCCTGAGTGGGGCTCTGTGCTGACAGCTCCAGCAAAGTCTGGAGCCTGCTTCGGATTCTGTGTCTCCCTCGCTTTCTGCCCCTCCCCTGCTCACACTCTGTCTCTGTCTCTATCTCGAAAATAAATATTTAAAAAAAAATTTTTAATGTGTAGTTTACAAGTAAAAAATTTTAAAAACCCAAACAAGTGGTAGAAAGGACTGTGTTGTATAACATAGGCAATAAGGAAAGAAAGTGTCACCCAAAAGAAGTGACAAAAGCCTTCAGATAAAGCCTCAGGTAAGGAATCCTTGACATATAGTATAACCAGTCATGGTCTTGAACAAAATGCAATATTTACATTTATAAATTGTAAACTCTATAAAATAGACAGAGAGCCACATCATAAGAATCATAAATGTTTACCATGGTTCACAATTAAATGGATAGCTCGATGATGCCCCATCTCCTGGAGGATCTGTAACAAGTCACCGATGGTCTTGTTTTTCTGTGCCCAGGACCAGAGTAGTTCTCTTGTTCCACTTTTACCTTGGTCAACATATTTTTCGATGTGACGAACATCCAGCCAGCTGTTTGAAAGTCGCTCCGCTGTAGAAATTGCAACAGGAAGAACCCAGCAATAGTTTACTTTTATTGGAATACATGTGTACAGATACTTTATACGTTTTAGTTCATATTATTTATTTTTTTTTTTTTAATTTTTTTTTTTAACGTTTATTTATTTTTTTGGGACAGAGAGAGACAGAGCATGAACGGGGGAGGGGCAGAGAGAGAGGGAGACACAGAATCGGAAACAGGCTCCAGGCTCTGAGCCATCAGCCCAGAGCCCGACGCGGGGCTCGAACTCACGGACCGCGAGATCGTGACCTGGCTGAAGTCGGACGCTTAACCGACTGCGCCACCCAGGCGCCCCTAGTTCATATTATTTATAATTTTTATTTTTTTAATTATTTTTTTAATGTTTATTTATTTTGAGAGAGAGAAAATGTGAGCACAAGCAGGGCAGGGGCAGAGAGAGAGAGGAAGAGAGAAAATCCCAAGCAGTGTCCTAGCTGTCAGCACAGAGCCCGATCAGGGGGGTCGACACAGAACTCAATCCCATGAGCCATGGGATCGTGACCTGAGCTGAAATCAAGAGTTGGTCACTTAACCGACTGAGTCACCCAGACACCCTGTCTCATACCTTTATCCTCTGGAAAGTCTAAAAAATTTAAAAAGCCAGATACACATGGATGGATAAAATCCAATTGTCATCCGAGTGTGGTCATGGGGACCCTCAACACGTCACCATAACTGGCTATGGAAATCAGCCTTTTCTTCTGCCACACACAAATCTGGAAGCTTCTCTCCAGCAGTAACCAAGGTAACCTCATTGGAGGACTCACCTATCCGCCAGTGATACTCTCCAAAGGTTGATGTCCTTTTAAAAGACGAACAGGGGCTCAGACATGAGAAGTGTAATAAGCCCCCTACAGAACTATCTCTGTTCAGTCTATTTCAGACTCTAAAAGACTCTAAAGTTTTAAAAAACTTCTTAGGGAGCTATTACACTAGTTATAGTACTTGAATTTTTTTTTTTAACATTTATTTATTTGTGAGAGAGAGAGAGAGCACGCACCCACGAGTGGGAGAGGGGCAGAGAGAGGGAGACACAGAATCCAAAGCAGGCTCCAGGTTCCAAGCTGTCAGCGCAGAGACTGATGTGGAGCTCGAATTCACGAACTGTGAGACCAGGACCTGAGCAGAAGTCAGACACTTAACCCACTGAGCCACCCAGGCACCCCAATAGCTGCGGATTTGAATCAAGACATCAGAAAGACAAAGATCTTTTGATTTAATATGGCATCCCTTCTCTCCACATTTTCAGTCCTTCAAGGGTTTGCTAGACTATTCAGTTTCCTTCAACTTTCTGTTTTTGCTGAGAGTATAAGTACATCCTGAAAGTTGACAGAGATCACAATATGCAACTATAACTTTGCCCCCCTCTTCCTGTGGACCAAAAATGGACTCGGTAGATATTACCAGTGCTCACCAATATTTCCTATCTTCTGCCCCTTCAGAGAGGATTACATCTTCCTGCCCTGGGTTAGTTATGCCTATGTGTCCCTTTCATCCAGGAACACTGAAGAGCCAGGGGGCAATTCACCAGGCACCCATGCTCGCCACCAGGTATAAGCACATGTTGATACGGGGGTGCTTCAAGATCAAAGCCACCTGGAATGCTGGGCCACCTCATGAGGTCAGCTGTTCTGGACTCTCAGTGCTGTTCCCACAAGCAAAAAGCAAACTTCGGTTATGTTAACCACTGGCAGCGATTTGGGTGGTGCTTGTTACTGCATATAACTTAGTCTATCCTGGTCAATACCCACAAAGTTTCATCTTAAGTGTTATGTTATTCGGTCACATCTTGTATCAGAAAAGGGTGAAAGGAAGTGGCATACCCAATAAAGGATGACGAAGTTGAGACATTCAACTGGAATGTATGCTTAGGCTGTAAAGGAAAAAACAGCTACAATAACGTATCTGACATCATTAAGTTGGACAGTTTTTGCCTTTCCTCCATATTTTAAGTTCTGGCAAGAATATCTTTATTATCTATTTCTTGGAAGAGATGATGTCTCATGAAGAGGCAAGGACTATCCAACTGTCAATATATGTTTTAGATAGCTTCACACTAAAAAATAGAAGGGGACCTTCAAAGCAAAAATATTTATCAAGATATAGTAACTCTCTATTTTTTTTAAATTAAGTTTGCTTTAATGTTTATTTTTGAGAGAGAGACAGAGCGGGAGAGGAGCAGAGAGAGAGAGAGAGAGAGAGAGAGAGAGAGACAGAATCTGAAGCAGGCTCCAGGCTCTGAGCTGTCAGCACAGAGCCTGACGTGGGGCTAGAACCCACGGACCGGAAGATCATGACCTGAGCTGAATGAAGTCAGATGCTCAACCGACTAAGCCAGCTGGCACCCCAGTAACTTAATTTTTAATGTATTTCTTTTGATGATGTGATCTACCTATTTGGTTGAGGCACACTTTTCATAAACACTTTAACTATTTCTAAAAGCTCTTAGGGGAAATAGTGCAAATCGGTACAATTTGTTAACAGGCCCAAAATGGCATCACTTAGGCCAAGTCACCAAATGGGGCTAAATACCTAATCCAGTACTGTAGTTTCAACCTGCATCAGAAATATAAATCTTACCCAGTTAGTCAGGAATTTTCTAATCAGTTCCTTCGAAGTAATCTGTTGCATGGGCCCTCTGTATCCCCAGAGGAAGATGAGGTAATCTGCATGATAAGACCCCCTGCTCTTCTCCCTAAGGGAAAGAATCTTGCCAGGAACAATCCTTTTTTTTTTTTTTTTTTCCTTTAAGTTTTTGTTTATTTATTTTGAGGGGAGGGGGAGGGGCAGAGAGTGAAGGAGAGAAAATCCCAAGCAGCTTCTCTGCTGAACGGGGGCTGAAACCTATGAACCGTGAGGTCGTGACCTAAGCAGAACAATACTTTTCTTTTGCTAATAATTTTTCTTGCCCCACCATCTTTCCTGGAAAATAACCTTCCATTTTGTACAACTCCCCGGAACTCCCTTCTACTTGCTAGACGGAATACTGACTGATTCATGAATTATTAAATAAAGCCAATTAAAGTCTTCAGATTTACTTGGTTGAATTTCATTTTTTTAACAAGTTCAAACATTTGTTGACTGTGCTAGTAGTATAGTAATTGCATACGTCAAGTGTATGTGCAGCAAGAAGAGGGGTCCCTAACTAAAAATGGGGGCCTCATGGAGGTGCCTGGCTGGCCCAGTTGGGGGAATGTGCAACTCTTGATCTTGGGATTGTGGGTTCAAGCCCCATGTTGGGTGTAGAGATTACTTAAAAATAAAATCTTAAAAAAAAGGCGGTCGTGGGGGGGGGGCACCTGGGTGGCTCAGTCGGTTGAGTGACCCATTCTTGATTTCGCCACCCAGGTCATGATCTCACGTTTCATGAGATGGAGCCCTGCATTGGGCTCTGCACTAACAGCACAGAGTCAGCTTGGGACTCTATCCCTCTCTATCTCTCTCAAAAAGATAAGGGCATCATGGAAAGCTTCCTAGAGGAATGGTTTCTGGAGCCTGAGCCAAGTTTAAAATTATGCATACTTCTAAAGAGAGGCCGATACTCAAGGAATTATTGGAATTAATATACTATACTGGGGAGAAAAAAAATCATGGGAATTTCAGTTGGGAAACAAAATAAAGGAATGAACTGTGAACCCCAAAAGTAGACTACATTGTCTTCAAAAGAGAAGTCTCCATCAAGAGAGAGGACCCTTGTGGCCCCCTGGGTATACGCATGAAAATGTGTGTTTATTCGTGGCTCTGCCATTCGCCTATGGTGCAACTCTAGGCAAGTCGCTGAGCAATTTCAAACTTCTCATCAGTAAACATCCTCTGAAGTCCATTTGAAGTCCCTCCCAAAACAGACACTAAATTTGGTTGCCCCTCTCTGGTCTGCTGATTATAGCAGCACTGACCTTAAAATACCTCTTCCAGTCTTTCGAACACTTCCCAGTCTCCAGATTAACATTCCAACAGGGGGAACACTAAATATCAAATCTCAGCAAAGTGAAAGTTTAGGTTTCTACTTTTTCTATTAGTAGATTACTTGGCTGACATTTATAGAGTATCAGGCATAATGTACCATATAAATTAATAATACTTATACAACATACAGCAAGCTTTTATAAAAAAAATAAAATAAAACAGCTCCGTCTCAGGGCGCCTGGCTGGCTCAGTTGGAAGAGCATGTGACTCTTGGTCTTGGGGTCATGAGTTCAAGCCCCACGCTGGTGTAGAGATTACTTAAAAAAAATTAATTAATTAAAAAAAAAGCAAACAGTTCCCTCTCTACTTTAAAACTCCGGATAAGACATGACCTGATTTTGGGATGAGACACGAAGGGAGATGACAGCCTTGTGGGCTACCACAGTCAGGGAGGAGTATGAGGGTGGGACGTTGTCACCAGCTAGACCCCAGGACCTGGCCTTTACTATCCACCTGCTACACGCATTAACTTTTGTGTTACATTTTTCCCTAAGCTCTACTTTCTGGCTTTTCCCTTAACTCAGACAAATGAAACCCAAAACCACCCCCCCCCCCCCCCCCGCAACAACCCCAGGTGATGGCGACTGCCTTGACAAGACCTCCTACTGGCCCAGACCACCCAGATCATTTATGCTAAACCAGCCTGGAGCTTGTGCGGTTGGCCCATGGAGTGAGCTGTGGAATAACTTATGATTATCTTTATCTCATTATAATACTAAAATCTCCACCCAAGGAGGAGCTTCAGTGTCATTTACATAACACACGATGTCATATTGTCATGTTTCCTTAAGGTGCATGTGTGATGTTATGTTCACCTCTACACAGGAAGACAAGGCTTCCCAATCCAAATATTCATCCTAACACTGAATAAAAGGAACCCATTCACCCTCTCTCAGGCAGTCATGGCTTTGGAAGCCAGTCCCCATGATCTTATTTGCCGCATACAAAAGTTTTCTTTGTGGGAAAACGCAACCTGGTGCAGTTTCTGACTCACCAAGGCACCA